CACCCCCACCCCATTAAAGAGGAAGGGATCAGCTGCAATGTATGGGCCTGGGCTGCAGGTGCTGGGAAGTAGGCTTTGTAAAGTGATGTGTCCTAGGAACCCCGAGTGGCTGGCAGATTGCTGGGAAGGTGCGAGGCACTCAGGGAAGGAGTCCAAGTGGGAGAGAGCGTTCCCAACACTGGCGGCAGCCTGTGTTGGAGGAGATGGTGGCCCCAGGTACTTGAATCAGTCTTGTTCAGACAAACATAGATGAGATGTCAGGCTTAAAAAGAATGGGGTATGGGAAACCATTTATTAACCAGACAAATGCCTTGGACTTGGCTTCCACTGCCAGCCCACAGGTCAGCCACTCTTCAGAACAGTGTGCAGAAGAACTGACCGGAACACTTGAAAAAAGTCTTATGATCTTGGCCCGTTCTGAACCCAGTGAATTAAAACATCAGAGCTCTCTGATCTTAATGAGATCCTCACGAGACCTGGCTGTTTGGTCAGTTTTGGAAACCACTGCCCCAAGAAATACAGTCACCATAGTGGCTTCCTGCCTCCATCTAGGGATTACAGAGCTGTTTCAACACTGGAAGTTAGGGTTTCTTTATTCTGTGGAGGCCCCTCCCCTGCTGAGGTAAAGAGGTCCTCCTTCACTGTAAAGTGTCCGGCTAAGTAATCCCTCTCAACTAACTAGTGCTCCCCTAATAAAACATGCTACCTTTCCAAATCTTCCCTGCACATCCTAGGTCTTGCTGACCTCTGGGACTTCAGGAAATGGGTCTGGGCTGGAACAGGTCCTGAGGATGGTCAGTCTGAGAGGTGCTGGCCAATGATACCCTGAGGGGGACATGTGTGTCTATGGGGTTGGGCAGTTTTTATTTCTGTGCGTGTGTGCGTGCGTGCGTGTGTGTGTGTGTGTGTGTGTGCTTATGTGTGTGTAAACCAACTGACATATCTTGAAATTCTCCACATCCTTCTGTAGAGGCTCACTTCTTGCATCCCTCCCCTGTCTGTGCCAATGTGTCTCCCCTCTCTGAAAAGCATCAGCTCTGGGTGGCTGCCAAGACTCTGGGGGGTGGGGGGAAGCTGGATGCTTGATTCTGCACAAAAGGTCCACAGGAGCCCTAAGCTGTGGGACACTGGGGCAAGATGGTTGAGCATAATCTTCCCCTGTACAGGACTTAGATCGTATGTCATCCCTGACCTCCCGTCCCATTCCTGTCCTTACTTGGCTACCAGTACCCCCGACCCCAAGTCTCCAGCACAATATCTGTTTTATTTTCTTAGCGGTGATAGCTATTGAATATCATCTTGGCCATTTACTTAAGTCAGTATAGCAAAGCCATTAAGAGAAAGGCCTCTGGAGCCAGACTGCCTGGATTCAAATTCAGCCTCCATCACTTTGCAGCTGTGTGGCCCTGCCCAAGGCGTGTATACTTTCTATGCTTTGGTGAGAGTGGGATGATATTAGTGCTCACCTCAGAGGATTGCTATAAGGACTAGATGGGCTGATACAAGTTAAACAGTCATGATCTGCAATAATGCCATCCAAGCATTAGTCCTATCTGTGCAATTATTACAGGGCTATGGCATTCACCTCTGCAGTCCCAGTGCCTGCAAAGGCAGAAGCTACATATACATGCAATTAATAACTGTGTTCAGCTAATAAACGAATGCCAATGAACAAATCTAAATCGTCTCCCTAGCTGTATGACCAACCCCTTCCTCTGAAGCTTAACACAGCTCCAAGCTGGATTTAAGAGAGAAGGCAACAAAATTCATGTCCCCTAGTAAGTAAACGGGTGTGCCTGGCTGATTAGCAGGGGCATCCTGCTGCAGATGCTGTGACCTCGTGCTGCCCCCTGCTGCTTGTCTCTGAGGGAGAGCCAGCAAACCCAGACACAGATGCCAGGCCGAGTGAGCCACTGGCATTTCCTGAGCCATTGCCTGCAACTTGGGATGTTCTTGCTCCTTCTCTCTACCTTTGCCCTGGTTGCTATATTCACTCCAACTGTTGGTTTGCAGAATCATATCCAGATGCAAAGTCCCTTTGGGTGCCCACAGGTCTTCAGCATGCCAGATTCCAGTAGTTCTCACTGACCAGCAAGACCAAGGCTCTAATGGAAGTCACTGCACCCCATTTGTTTCCCTTCCAAACCTAGAAGGTGAGCTCTTCAGGGCATGACCCATGTGCCACCTCCAACCTGCTCCCTATCAGCCACTTGGATCCCTGAGCTGACTTCTAAATCCTTTCAAGATAGGAGCTCCTCACTGCTCTGAGGCTGGATTGGGAGGCTTCTTCCTGGGCTCCCTCATGGACTTCCTGTGCATTTCTCTGAAGTCCACATTTTATTTTCTCAGAATCAACAAGGAAATAATCTGTATTTTTCTCTGAATAGGATTCTTTCTGAGAGGAAGACAAAATGTTTACTTGTGGTTTTTGTGATGACCTTACTTCCTGTCAAAAATGTAGAGGGCCACAGGCTGCAGACCTGTAACTAAGGACATTTTAGGGATGCTGCCTGGGTCCCATCAGACCATCAGCAGTAGGTGGACATTCCCAATGAGCTTTAAAGAAGATAACATTGTTATCCCACCTGCTGTAACTCTGTGGCAGCAATGTCCCTGCTTCTTGCCCAGCAGCTCAGCTGACAGAAGTCTCAGGATTCTTGTGGAGGCCCTGGAAAGGACTCAGTGATGAGGCTCAGTGGCCTTCCCTTTGTTCTGTCCTTGTAGTTCTGCAGGGCAGGGCCCTCTTAAGCACTACACTTATGGATGGTGAACACTGTCCCTTTCTTTCTCCATGTCAATGGCACACACGGGTAACCAGCTACTCCCTTTACTGCCTGGCTAAGACCTTAGAAACCATTAAACCCTGAAGTTATTATCAGGGGATTTGAGATGGTCTGTGCGAACACACTCATGTTGTCCATCTTCCCTTTGTTCCTGAAATGCCCAACTTCCAGTTCCTGTAAGAACCTGTGGCCACTGCAACCACAAAGGTAGTACCAGATGCCAGATTCCAACTTGCCAGTGAGACCCCATTCCCTAGTGAGAACATCCTCTGGGGGGGATCACTTGGCCCAACTGTGCTACCTGTCCCTTGTGTATGGAAGGAGGTCCTGGTCTGTCTCTCCTAACCTGGTAGAATCCGGTCCACAGGTACTCCCAAGGCAGGAGTCAGGAATGGTGGTGGTGGTGGTGGTGGTGGTGGTGGTGTGTGTGTGTGTGTGAGTGCGTGTGCGCGTGTGTGTGTTTGTGTGGCTTCCTTATGAGATGGACTTGGAGAATGCGGAGGTGGAAATAGCCACCTGTGCCTGAGATAGAGGGAGACAGTTTTGCCTCTCACTCACTGCTATGGGGTCATTCTTTTTGTTTGTTTGTTTGTTTGTTTTTCTTTTGGTACCTGGGATTGAACTTGGGTCTTTGTGCTTGTGGAAGCAGGCACTGGAACCACTGTGCTAAATCCCAGGCACAGTGGGGTCATTCTTAAATAAAGCACCAAGGCCACTGGATAAATTCCAGAGAGGAGAAAAGAGAACCATTTTCCTCCTCCTTAGCCAAACAGCTACAATCTCCTGGAGCTTCAGGTGAAGAGGTGTGGGATCTGACCCGAGGACACAGGGGAAAAACAAAGGATATGTGGGGATGCCTGCTGAATTCCTTCAGTTCTTGCCTCTTTCAGTCCCAAGGAATGCCAACAAGAAGGCAAATATTCATGCTCATATCTGTGCCTCTGGCTCCTTTCTCATTGCTACTGCTGAGGGTCTCTGACTTATAATGGGTTGACTTACGATTTTTCAATTTTATGATGTGTGAAATCATACTTCAATGTTGAATTTGTATCTTTCTCAGACTAGTGATAATTGGGAATGATGATGTCTTGAGATGGCTCGATGAGTGGCAGCCAGCCACAGCCTCCAGTTAGCCATGCCATCCTGGCAGAGGCAAGGGGTACCTCGTCTTGTGTGCCAGCATCCCATCAGGGCTGCACAGGCCTTTCTGGGTGTGTATAAGACATTTGACACTGTTCTAAAATAGGTTTTGTGCTAAATGGTTTGGCACAAATGCAGGCTGAAGGAAATGCTCTGAACATGTTGAAGGTGGGCTGGGCTAGTTGTCAGGGTCAGTAGGTTAAGTGTATTAAGCGGATTTCAATTTATGTTTTTAATTTACAAAGGATTCTTGGGGGATGTAACACTTTTGTAATTCGAGGAGCATCTTTACATGTTGGTGAATATTTTAATATATATATTTGTCAGGACATATTTTTTGAATTAAATTTTTTAAAAGTCTGGTTTCTGGGTTGATTTATCATTTCCACTGGTTTTATATTTCATTAATCTCATTTCAATATATTTTTTTTCTTTTTTGTTGCTTTAAAATATTGTTTTTAAAAGGTGAGCACTTAGTTCAACTATTTTCAGCTGATGCTTTTTTGTTTTTTAAATTTTCAATAATATAAATAAAGTTATATATTTTCCTGAGTATAGCTTTAACTGTGTCCCTTAGATTTGGGGATACTTACTATGGTTTAATATGTTTCTTTAATCAGTACTAAGATTGAACATTTATCCACTGGTTATATTTCATTAATCTCATTTCAATATATTTTTTTTCTTTTTTGTTGCTTTAAAATGATGTTTTTAAAAGGTGAGCACTTAGTTCAACTATTTTCAGCTGATGCTTTTTTGTTTTTTAAATTTTCAATAATATAAATAAAGTTATATATTTTCCTGAGTATAGCTTTAACTGTGTCCCTTAGATTTGGGGATACTTACTATGGTTTAATATGTTTCTTTAATCAGTACTAAGATTGAACATTTTTTCATGTTTCAATACTATTGACCATTAATATTTGTCTTTCTATGAATTTTATCTCATTCTTGTTCCATTTTTCCCTATTTAGATATTTATCATTTTCTTGTTGATTTATCAGTTATCTACATTGCAAATATGCCAGTATTCTTTTGTGTTTTACTTTTCAGCAGAGAAGTTTCATATGTTCCTTTGTAGTTAAATATAAAAAATATTATTGCTTTGAGTTTCCCTTTCTAATAGCACTTTTAGATAGATGTTTTCCCCTGAGAGTACATAAATCATTACCTATATTTTCTTCTGATTTTTATTTATTATTGTTATTATTTTCAATGCTGGGGATCAAACCAAAGACTTTACCCATGAAAGAGAAATTTTACCATGAGCTACATTTCCAGCCTTGATTTTAATATGTAACTAAAATAATCTGATTTTACTTTTCCTCTAAATGCTTAGCAGTTTGATATAGCATTATTAATCCACAAATCATTGCTTTCCTGTAATTTTTATTTTTATCTTATTTTTTAGACTTTTAACTTTTCTGTCTATTCCTATGTTATTAATATACTATTGCAATTATGTTAGCTTTATGAAATCTTTTAACATAAGATGGGACAAGTCTATTCTATAAATGTTATTTTAAGCAGTTTCCTTGACTCTTCTATGATTCATTCTTTCCTAAGAGCTTTGCACTTGTTTCATGAAGTCCTCCACAGACTTAATCCTCGTGATCATTTTTTCTGTGATTATTTGTGAGGAAGTGCACTGTTTCTACATTCTCTGGAGGTCAACACCCTCTCACCTTCTTTCTATTTTCTCAAGCTGTACCTCCAGCTGGGGCTGAGGCTTGCTCAAAACCCCCTACTCCATCTCTTCTCTTTTTTTTTGCTCTGAACCTTCCCTCTGGCCTCAGAATGTATTTGTTTGTCCTGAGGTTGCAACATGTCCCTTCAGCCCTGGCCTGACCCCAGCCACTTACACTTGAAATTAAGTATTAATAGAATTAAAAAAAACAAATATGCAGGAGGACTGGAAGTGAGATCACTGTACTCCTACCTCAGATCAAAGGGCCTGGTGACATCTTAAAAATATTTTATGCTAGCCAGCCCTACAATCAAGACTTCCAAGCAAGAATTAAGAATGCCGTTCACTGGACCCTTTCAGTTATTCACTCCATTCACTCTACTTGATAAGTACTTGCTTAGGAAAGTCCTTGTAAATTCCTCTGTGACACAAAGGTAGTGCAGCCTGTCATCAGAGAGCACCTAGAGACTCTTTAAGTAAGCAAAGGTCAAATCTGTCAATATTTAAAATGTATCAGGTCAAGACCCCCAAATCTTACTGTAAGTCAATGTGGACCAAGCCCAAGGGCAGTTGCCTTCCATGTGATTGCTCTGGGTGCCATATGTTTGATTACAGAGGCACTGTATAGCCACCAATTGTCTTGCAATCACTATGCCTCAGAGGAGAGGGCATTACAGAAATATGCACTGGTCCTTATCCAATCACTCAGAAGTAACACATTGTAGTTCCGTGTCTACCTTCATTTTTCATTGAAATATTGGGGCAAAACAGTAAAATCTACCATAAGATTCTTGCTATTAGCCATATGGAGGCCTAATAGTTATAGATAACTACAGTGGACTGTAATAAAGTGTGTCCTAGTCTCTGAGCAACTTGGGGATTGCACAAGGTGTCTGTCCTCTATGTTCTTGATTGAAAGCTCTTAGAATCCATCCATTCACTCTACATCTACATGTTTAGTACCTACAAGTATGGACATATTGCTGGAACAAAATCCTACAGGTTACTTCTCTGTTAAGTAGGGGCATGTAGGGCTGTAGGATCTACAAGAGCATAACTAGCCATTTCCATCTTTGTATCCAGTGCCTAGATAAACATTTGACATCTAAATTAACAGTTTGTTTCCTCTAGTACATACACAGTTTCCTTGCTCTAGTGTATATAAAATGTAGTTAACTTGAAAGCTCAAGTACATCATTAAATTACTAGAAGGTAAGAGTGGTTGATGATTTCTGGAACTTAAGCAACTCAGTTGTCAATGCTGTACATCAAGGGACTTCAGAACAAAAATCGGATTCTAATAGAAAAGCAAACATCAGCAAGCTCTTCATTGACTGTTCACTATGGGATGTGGGCTGATTTTGAGAAGGAGAGTGGCGAACCAAGAGGAAACTTGAGAATATACTATTAAACTGATCAGAGGCTTCCCACTACAACTTCTTGAAAGATTCCCCTTCCAGATATGGAAGGAAGCCAGCCACTCCCATAATGTCACCTGGTACTCATATCTCCAGACAGCACAAGAATCAGAGTGGACCCAGGCTAATATTGTGGTGGGTGGACACTGTCTCAGATCTTGGTTGAACTTTACCCATGTATGTTAGTACAGGATACACCCCTGTCCTCAGGGGCTCAGTTTAGGACTTGAACTTCTGAAACATTTGCTTCAGTCTTCTCTTTAATCAGAATCTATCTGCAAAACCCAGATGGCCCTTCTTGCCATCATGGGACAAGCAGATGCTGCTAGATTTAAAGGTTCTTTTTTAGGGGATCAGTACCAGATCTTCACACTATGGGAGATTATTTTCTTTTTTACACAGTTTGGCTATTCTTTCCTTCCCCTTCAAAAGAAACAGCGTTGGCATAAGTATTGGGGTGGTGGGTACTGATCAACAAAGATCACCATGACTTTCAATGGCTCCCAGTTGCCATACTGCGCTATAGGGTACCATGCCCCAAAGCTTAGTTGACTGAACCAGAGCTGAGCACTGACATAGAAAACTCATTTCCACAGGAGTTTCAAACTGATAATAAATAAGTTCTCACTTCTGTGGCATGGCTTTGTTTATGCTCCCTTACTCCTTCTTGAGCTTATTCAGAATTCAGCTTCAATTTATAGAAAAATGCTTTTGCTTTGGCTTAAAATACATACAGCTGTTTCCTTTTACTTGTAAAAACAAGAGGCTTCCTGAGTGTCCCCAAGTGTGATCTCTATATCTGGGAATTGTTTGTTCTTTATTGCACAACAGATTTGTATTTCAGAAGTGCCAGGATATGGGGACTTTTGCAGTAAGAGGAGAAAGTTTTCAACAGAGATCCTGGGCTGCAAGTGGCCTGGAAGTGTGGCTTTTGTTTCTGGAGATGCTATATGGCTTCAGGACTTCTAGGAAGAGGGGTGGGATTTGGAAACCCCATCTAGAAAGAGCAGCACCCTTGGTCTTTGGGAACAAAGGAGAGAGTGGTTTCCTGTTTCAGGAGGAAGTAGTTGAGCCTCCTTTTCAGGCCTGTGGTTCACCCACGTGCCATTCCCACTTCTCAAACACAGATGTTATTTAAGTAACTTTTTGCAATGTTGTGTCAATAAAATGAAACAAATATTCAGGAGTCTTCCAAAGTACAAGCTTTGGGATCCAAAAGGCCCATTCATGACACAGCTCTAACTCAGCCATTCAGAGTGTCCCTGTACGAGTCCCCTCCCCTCTTTGTGCCTTGGTTTCAGTATTGAAAAAAGAGGATAATGAATTAGCTAGATTTATCTGTGAGGCAGAATCGGAAAGAAGATTGCTGGAACTGTCAGGCAAAAGAGGGGTTGGGGTGATTTGAGCCAGGCCAGACACCTTCTGCTCCTAAATTCCTTGAAGTGACTTTAGAACTGTGATCTGATGCTCCTGTGCTAGCAACAGAGCTGCAGAGCTGCTGGGCAGATGGATGAGGAGGAGCACTGTGTGCAGCTTCCTCAGCTTAGAAAGAAGCAGCCACAGATGCCTCCAGCTGTGAGGCACCAGATGGCAGTGAGAGAAGTTTGGGCTTCAGAGAGGGTCCTGAACATGGATTTACACGCGGGAGTCATCAGCACATAGATGGAATGGGAAGTGGGGTGTGTGTATGTGCTCATCTTGTAGTGAGTGTACAGAGAAAGAAGCAGAGCGGAGCCTTGGTGCTCCGCCACCAAGTGGTCAAGCAGAGCAATGAGAATGAGCAAGGGGCTAAGGAGCAGCCTGAGGTTGATAATCAACGCAGGCACAGCGGTGTCCCTGAAAGGCCAGAGGAGGGAGAGTTTGAAAGAAGAAGGAGAGGCCAACTGAGCCAGATGCAGCTGAGAGTTGGTGAAGGAGGAGGGCTGGAAAGGAGTCATTGGGTTTTGTTACAGGTATCACGGAAAGTGACTTTCATTCCTTGCACCTGAGAGAGCAGGTGGCCCCTTCTCTGCTGGGCTTCACTGTGGGAAGGTATTTTGCATTTTACTCTGAAAGACATCTGCAGTAGTCCTTTCGGCTGCTCTCAGCTGGCAGAAGTCACCTTTTTATTAGGATGTTGGCAGCGCACAGGGTCTGGACCAAGCACTGAACCCCCAGTGGCTCAGAACTCGCAGATCACGAGGAGATGCTCTCCACAAGACCTGTCATTCCACTTGCCGTTGGTGAACATCTCCACACAGTCTTCTGCCCCGCCATCATTGTTGGGCTCCCCAGGGGCCCAGTTGGAAAAGACCATGGGCTCCCCTGAGGGGTAGATAAATGTGCCCTCCTTCTTGGTGTCTGTCAGGCTCAGTAAAGCAGACTTGTTCTGCGCTTCAATCAGCTTCTGCAAAGCAGCATTCTCTGCTGCAGAGCGTGGGGAGGGCAGTTGTCCACCAGCCTGAGTACACATCTTCTGTGCCCCTTCAAAATTACTTTCAGAGCCCACTGTCTTGAAGATCTTGTCCCCAATACTTTGGCCACTGGGGAAGAGCTCGGCTGAAAGAAGGAGAGTCATATTAAGGCTGATCAGAGCTCAGGGGGCTCTGAGATCTCTGTGTTGTGACTCAAGACTTCCCGGGCAGGGTGTCTGGGCTCCAGGAAGGATGTAAACAAGATATTGATCCAGAGCAGCCCCAATACCTGAGAGAGGGTGCAGTGGTCCCCTGTTCACAGATGAGAGCATGGGAAGGCAGAGAAGTTGAGCAAGCGGTCCCAAAGCACGCAATTATCAAATACACAGTTAAGGACACCTTGTCCAGTCTGACCCCATTGCCCAGAGATGCTGATTTGGTGTCAGCCCATATCATATGCCAGGACTGATTTTTCAGTAGCTATGTAGAATTGAACTGCTTTTCCCAGGGAAATGATTCCTGGCCTGAGCCCATTACTGAGAATATGAAAAGCACAATGCAGTGACTCCTTTGTTATCCCTGTTACTCTAATGTTGGAGCATTAGAGAGGGTCTATGCTGTGTGATGAGGAGAGGGCACAGGATAGATTAAGGTAGGGCATCTGAGGTTGTTGTGTGTCAGTTTCTGCTCAGGTCTAACCCAGGTGGTCCTCTTGGTGTGCATGTTGCTGATGCCCCTGCCAGTTGGTCTACACTGGAGGTGCTGGGGAGTCAGAATGAGAGCATCTGAGATGTGCATCTGTGTGGGACAGTATGGGGTGCCAGAGAGAGCCCTAAATGGGAATCAGAAGACCAGGCATTAAGACCTACCCTGGTTATGACTGTTCGGTGGAAGAGACAAAGCCACTTCCCTTCTAGGATTTCCAAGTCCTCATCTCTCTAAAGTGAGGAACACTTCACAAAAGCAAAAAATGTCCAGCAAGTCTTTATTCCAATCTGTCCTCATTACTGTGGTTTTGGATCTATGCATGGAAATCTACAAAGGACGCTAAACTATGAAGGCTCCAGAGAGGGCTGTGCTCCTTGACTTAGGCTGGCAGAATCCAGGCTGCACCCTAATTCACTGTCTATCGCTGAGCATCTTTAATAAAGACTGTGGGGAAGATTCTCTGTGGGCTCAGGACAGCACCCAGAGAGCCCTAAGCAAGGTCAGTGCAAGATTCATGCATCCTTACTGGGTTTATCTTCCAGGTCTTATGGGGGTAAGCATATGCCTTATGCTATGTGAATATGTCCATGTATTCATCCAAAGGCCTGTAGGAGTCCTTAAACAGGAGGTTCCACTTTTTTTGAATTTGAAAAATGACCTTGAGCAGTAGGATATAAATAACTCACATGCTTAGCTTTCCAGTGATGGAACACTAGGCAAAAAACAGTTTAAGGTCCTCCTGAATGTGTGTGCCCCTGTATTTGAGCCCATGGATGTAGATGGATGTGGAATGAATGATGATATTTAAGTGCACGTATGTGCGCAGGTTTCTGTGTTAGTGTCAGTGCGCCTATGCAAATGAGTGCATCTATGAATATGTTTGTGGAGGGAGGGAGAAATGCCAAATGCTTGAAACTCTTATCTCTGAAATTGGGTACCTAAAAACCAATCAATCTTATATCCTACCCTAATGAGCGCCTTCATGCTCTACTTAATCAATCAGAAAAGTCTGCTTTTTGGTTCAGAGAGACATGGAGTCAAAATCAGTGTCAAGAAATGCAGAAGGGAAAGTTGGGAACTGAGGTGGATTCCAAAAGTCACAGAGAAGACCTGGGATGTAGAGCTCAGTGGCACCATACTTGCTGCAGGCATAAGATCCTGAGTTTGATCCTGGGTGTGTGTGGGTGGGTGTGGGGGGTCACAGAACATTGAGGGTGTGGTCCTGGATGCCTCACATGCCCAGGATTGTAGTTAAGGTGGAATCTCTGGTCCAGATTCCTCAGTAGTTGGAGGCAGAGCTAGCCCAGCTGGAGCCCAGAGGCAGCCTGGCCCCTGCTTGGCCCAGGAGCACATGGAAAGAGAGATGCTCATTGGCCACACAGCAAGGTTAGGCCCCACTTACCTTGTCCCCTACAGCAGCACCTGAATCCGTGCTGCCTTGGGCTGCACAGCATCATCTCCGGGAACCCCCACACCTGGCCCCCTAATATTGAGATGCACAACTAGTACAGGTTGTCCTTTTCTCTATCACAGGGACAAGCACAGGACAAGTAGGAGGGAAAGTCTAGAGAACTGTCTTGGCATACAGGCGGCCCTGAGATTGGAGAGTCCTCAGAAGCTTGGGAGCTTTCACAGTGTTTCAGCCAGCCTCGTGAACTGGTGAAATGGCCACATCTTCCTACTTGTCACTTGGACTTACTTCTAGATCCTGGAGTACATGACTTCCTTGCTCCAATCCAGTCTTACTTTTATCCCCACTCCAGCTCCAGTTTCAAGGCCAGTTTCAGATATGTCCCCTTTCATTCCCATCCCAGACCCATCAAGCCCAGCCAAAGCTCTAGCCCCAGCTCAACCCCACTCCAAGACCCAGAACCAGCATGGGGCCCAATCTTGGTGCCAGGCTGGACTGAGGAACTTACCTTTCTTATAGTGAGAGAAGGAAGCCTGGAGGGTCTGTAACTGCCTCCGCAAGGCCTCCACCTGCTGCTTCAGAGCAGAGATATCTGCAGGGGAGGGAAACAGCCAGGTGAAGACTTGTCCAGGAGAGTCCAGAGCAGCCCAGAGGCTGGACCTCACGGGCACGGTGTCCAAGATATTGGGAGTGGAGATGGACAACTGGGCTGATTCCAAGCAAGGTCACATCTGCTAACCCAGGGAGCCCCTGTGTACAGGAATTTCTTATGGTTCTGCTGTGGACAAACTGTGCCCTGATCCTCACTGACATGACCCAGATGCCATTTTGACACTAAATTTGGGGAATGGTGCCCCTATTCTTCTAGGTGTGAGTGTGTGTCTGTGAGTGAGGGGTTAAGAATATACATTCCTCATATACTCTCCATCCATTGGGTTATTGGATACTCAAAGCCATCCTATGAGCTGGGAAGGCAGCAGCTGCTCTTTCATGTCAGTTGAAGAAACTGCCCAGATTTGCCTTCTTGTATGCACCACATAGCTTAAGATCAAAGCCTCATGCTGCCCTCCAGCCTTTCCCCAGTCCCACCCTTGTCTTATAGTTAATAGGCTGTCATCCCAGAGGATACACATCCTGAACTGAAGAGGGTTCCTCTCCCCATACCATTCCCAAATGGGATTCCCAGAGCCAGGAGCTACCACCTTACCTGGAAACCCACTTTCACCCTTGGCTCCTTTGTCTCCAGGAGCACCTCTGTCACCCTTCAGTCCTGTGGGTCCCCTGGCACCTGGAGCTCCCTGTGGACCTGCAGCTCCAGCAGGCCCTGGAATCCAAGAAGATCAGGGTTAGCTGGGCACCCATTTTATAGTTTTTGCACATGCTCTGTCCTTATTATCCAGCAGTATGTCCTCCTTACACCAGACTAAGTCCCAGAACACAGCAATCTACCTTTTCTGTGTGTAGCTGTCCCGGTCACCAGCAACTGACTTCCCTGAACAGACTAGTCCTATACAGACCAGAAATGCCCTCTCCCTAAAGACAGACAGTTTCCAGAGCCCAGAGCTGCACTTTTCTTGGGTATAGACTCTTTTATGATTTATATTTAGATACCCTCAGAAGCCTTCTGCACTCATACGTGGAGCTATTAGAAAGTAATAGGACTATGGGGGCTTATAGCTGCCATGCTGTTAGGAGGTGGGGGCTGGTTGGAAGAGGTGGGTTACTGAGGGCTTAGCCTGGAAGAGTTTATCTCCCCTGCTGGCTCCTCCCTTCACTCCCTGTTTTCTGGCTGCCAAGCCATGAGAATCTTTTCCTCTGCCATGCCCCTCTGTCATGATCTTCTGCCTTAGAGCCAGCCAACAATGGATTGAAGCCTCTACAAACATGAGCCAAAATAAACTTTTCCTCCTTAGAGTTGTGGGTGTCGGATGTTGTGCACAGGTGACAAGAAAAGTGACCAAGGCCCAAGTGAATTGGCAATGCCAGTTCTAGGCTCATGTTGTGGAGTGAAGGGTCCGAGTGGGCATGACAAAGTGGACCCAGCCCCAGATCTCCCCATCACTCACCTATTCCCCCAGCACTTCCGGGGGCTCCGAGTTCACCAGGGGCACCTTTCTCCCCTTTAAGACCTGCCAGGCCTCTTGTCCCTGCAGAGCCCTGGACTCCTGGGGAACCTACTTCTCCTGAGGAAGAAACAAATAGGAAAAAATGCTGCTAAGAGTGTTCTCGGCAAGCATCCTCTCCCCATTAGTAGACTCCAGAGTCAGAGAGGGAACCTGGCCAATGCTCCTTACTGCTCGGGGTTCTTCTGTGGAGGATGAGTAAGATAGTGTTAACATCGGGTAATGTGGGAAAGGGGTGCATAGAAAAGCCTTCGCAATATTGATGGTCTCAGCTCCTCCTGGCCATCATGTCACACTATAGAGCACATTGTCATTCCTTCCTCCTTTCTTTTCTAAGATCAGTCACAACCCATCCACCTACCTTTGGGTCCAGCCTCTCCCTTGGGGCCTGGTTTGCCTTGAGGCCCTATGTTCCCCTGCTTTCCAGAGGGACCATCTTTTCCTGCCGGACCAGGCATGCCTGGAAGTCCTGGAGGTCCTGGGGAAAAAGACCAGCTTGGTCAGTGACACTGAACCCCCTTGGCAGTGGGGATGCCTGAAATGAGAGTAATAGTGAAGGTCAGAGAGGCACCCACAGCAGGCCCAGTCTGTCCCAAAATAGTGCTGCCTTCAGAACAGCCTTCGTCTTTTTTCTTGGGATAAGCCCAGCGTGCCTACCAGTTTAGCCAAGGCAGAAGCACCACTTGGAGACATCTGAATTCCACGCCCAGTTGCTCACCACTTGGTCCAGAATCTCCCTTTGGTCCAGGCTCTCCAGCAGCACCATTGTCCCCTTTGGGCCCAACTAGACCAGCTTGTCCAGGAATCCCTGCTGGCCCTACAGCTCCTGGCAAACCTGTAGCAGCAAAAGAAATGGACATAAAGTTGGCCCAAGGCTCAGAAAGGAGCTAGATGCTTCAGGGTCAATCCTGGGCATTCCTTCAGCATTCTGCAGAGCGTTCATATTCCACAGTTACACACCCTGGTCCAGTGGTGAGCTAGGAAACAGGTGTCTGCATCCTCATTTTGAGAGGTGATTTCTAGAGATGAGTTCCTTCCCTTGACAAGTAAGCAATTTGTCAGTATTTACTTGTGTCTGCAGACTTCTTACTTTATATATGCATGTAAGTGTACATTTACATACATGCACACACACACATATATATGTATACAAATGTAAGGAGAACTAATATTTATATCACAATTGGAACCAAACAGATACTCATTCAGTTGTTTGCCCATTTGAACATTTATTTGTTCATGAAGAACCCTAAAAGCACAGAAAACAAAAGTAAAACTTAACAAAAGGGATGACATCAAATGAGAAAGCCGCATAGTAAAGGAAACAATTAGCAGAGTGAAGAGACAATCTGAAGAAGGACAGAAAGCATCTGCCAGATCTTCATCTTACAAAGGGCTAGTATCCAGAATGTACGTGAAATTGAAAAAACTTAACAAGAAGATAAGGAATCCAATTTAAAAATAGCCAAATGATCTAAATAAACAGTTCTCAAAAGTCATACAAATGGTCAACAAATATTACAGTGTGCACAATATCATTAGCCACCAGATAAAAACAAATCAAAACTAAAATGATATTACTTCTCTTCTAATTTTATCAAAAGAAAACAAAAATAACAAATGTTATTGAGGATGTGAAGAAAAAGAACACTTTTCCACCACTGGTAGAAATGTAAATTAGTATAGCCATTATTAAGAACAATGTGGACAGTCTTTAAGAAAACAACTAAAAATAAAATACTAAAACTAAATACTAAAAACAAATACTAAAACTAAAAATAGATTTACCACATGAGCCAGCTATCCTATCTCCGGGTATAAATCCAAAGAAAATGAAATTAGCATTACAGAGACATATCTATACCTCCACATTTATTGCAGCACTATTCATGATAGCTAAGGTATAGAATTGGCAGAGTGCCCTTCAAAAATACATAGGTAAAGAAAATATGATATATAGACACAGTGAGTATTATTCAGCCTGTGATATGCAGCTGAATGGATGGGATTGGAGCATAATATGCTAGGTGAAATAAGCGAGACATGTATGTGTCTCTCTCATATGTGGGAATTAATAAATGTTGACCTGAGCGTAGAATAGTGATTATTAAAGATTAGAAAGGGTGTGTTGGAGGGCTGAAGAGAAGTTGGATTTGATCCAACACTATATGCATGTCTGGAAACATCACACAGAATCACATTAATATGTACAAGTAATATGCATTAATCAAAACTAAAAAAAAAAAAACCCAGCTATGCACATTTACTTTATTAGCACTGGGTAGGATGTGACTATTTGGCACCAGCTCTGGACTGTAAGAGATTTATAATAAACTGAGACAGGGCAACATGCCAGGCAGACAATGTGGAAGATGTTTCCCATCCCATCACAGCAGTCATGGCCCCACACACATGCACACCCTCAGAGTGGTCCTCTCTGAACTAATTTGTACAGAAGAAAGCCTATCTTCCAGACTTGGAAAGTATGTTCCTGTCACAGGAGAGGTAAGGCCTACTTGGGGAGAGAGTTTGTTTGTGATGTGTGTGACCATGAGTTTGCTGGGTGGATGGAAGATTCTGTGCTGGGCACTGTGCCCTGCTGTTGGTTGCAGTCCTTCACAGGAGTGCAGTGGAAGCAGAGGATGACCAGTCCATGGCGTATATCCAGCTGTACACAGGGCTGAAGGGCAGAGATGACCTGCTCTCAGGCTCAGCCTCTCCAGGGTTCCACACCAACCAGGATGGCAGCCGCACAGTGAGCCAAAGGAAAACTGCCACTCTGTAGGAGGGCTAGAGGCCACCAGTTCCTGGCACATGAACTCTGGTGGCTATGAGAGGTCACTCGCCTCAACAGCAGCACACAAGTGTACTGTGACCATATGTCAGCTTCATTAGATTATTAAATGTTTATCAAATTAGTTAAGCACATTTGTGGATGTGTGGAGGTAGATCTTGGAGGCATGGCCTTGGGTACTATTTCTGGTGCCTCCCTGTTCCACTCTGGCACTGTTCCTCTGCTCTGTTTCCAGGCTGCCATGAATTAAGCACTTTTGCTCCACCCCGCTATTTCAGACATTTCGCCTTGGAGCTGCTCAACCATGTTCTGAATTCCTTGAAACCAGGAGTCAAATAAACCATTCCACCTTTAAGTAGGTGCTGGGTATTATGTTCTACCATCATGAAAACTGATTGATACACTGCCCAGAGCACTAGTTTCTCATTCCAGGATTTCCCAGTGATCTAGCTCTGTATCCTCGTGCCACCTGAAGGCAAAACATTATGGTCTGGTACTTTGGCCAGGCTTGAATACCTCTTCCCTTCAATCTTCCATTCATTCACTCATTCCTTAAATAATTATTGAGCTCCTACCATGTACAAGGCTCTGTCCTAAATGTTGGTGTGGCAGAGAACAAAACAGACAAAAATGATCCCTATGTCATGGAGTTTCAACCCTACAGCATAAAAACAGACAACCTAAAATTAAAAGGTATGGCATACAGCACATTAAGTCATAGTAAGTGTCACAGAGATCAAATAACACGCAGGGAGCATTGGAGGTAGTGATGTCTGTTGTAAATGGGGTAGTTGGGAAACAATTCATCTGGAAGGTGGTCATTTTGATTTGGGGGAAGAGTCAGAAGTTGCATAGTGCCAAATCTGGTGAATAAGGTAGATAAGGACACACCATAATTTTCTTTTTCTTACAAGACTGATCTGTTGGAAGGTACTCAGCAGCACCATTCACCAATTTTGGGTCACCCTCATTAAAACACTAACGAAACTGTCCAACAAAAGTGGACAACAAAAGTTAGACAGTGAACCTTCCCAATGGAAGCAACATCTATAAGAAGAGCAATTGACTGGGCCCAGGAGAGAGAAGTCATGTGTGAAAAAGGACCAGAAAGAAGCCAGTGTGGCTGAGCCAAGTGGATATGGGAAGAATAGAAGGCATTGAGAAAAGAGAAACAAGTTTCTTGAGAGTGGTTACACGTGATGTTGTGAAGTATGGGATTACTCTGAGGGAGATAAGGATCCCTGGAGGGACTCTTGATGGACCTTTTTGGACAGGAATAATGGTGGTGGTGAGCTGTAAGGGAGCCGTCCCTGCTGAGGCAGGGTCTGGGTCTTACTCGCTCTTCATGATGTATCTGGGACCTGACCAGAGTGATTCCAGCTGCACCCCCCGTCCATTCTCAAGGATCTCTCCTCTCATGCCCCAACTACCCTATTCAGCAATTTCTGGGCCCTCATGCTTCAAAATCAGAAGAAGTTGTTACAAGTGCAGGCTTCAGGGTGCCACAGACCTACTTGGTTCAGGAATTTAAGGATGCTCCAAGCTGCCAAGGATGTTCTCAGACCTGTAATGAATGAGCAGGGGCAAGGTACCTGCACAGCAAATGGAGATCTTGGCCATACTCCTGGAAGCAAGCTCAAGGGTCCCCCCAGGAATCAATCTCATCTCCCTCTGGGAGCCAGAGAGAGCTAAGAATCTCAGAGAAGCCTAGCTAATTGAGTCCCACCCTTCTGAGTTCACCCCTGGGCAGCCATCCCCAAGTCCAGCTCATTCACATTGGGAGCTCTTTTGATCCATACAGGAAAAACAGAGTCTTTTCTCTTGCCCCGCAAAGCTTAGGGATGTTGCTTATTCTCTCTGCCATTAGTTCCCTTCCTCCCCAACCAAAATGAAAACTCAAAAAGTTAAAGACTAGTTGATTTCTTCATAGCCTGGCCCAGGACCATGTGGTCCTTTAGTTCACTGAATTTTCCTGTAAAGCCAGTAAGACCCAAATCCTCGCCCAGGCTGAGCATAGTATTTCCAGGAACAACTCCCTTATTGTGTTTTGCTAGTTTTGCAATACTAGAGATTGAACTCAGGGTCTTGCATATGACAGGCAGGTGCTCTGCCTCTGAGCTATATCTCCACCCTCAATCCTCTTTTTCTGAGGCAAGGTCTTGATAAATTGTCCAGGCTGGCCTTGGATTTACGATTCTCCTCCCTCAGTCTCCTGGTTGCTGTACTTAGAAGTATGAGCCACCACATGTGGTTGACAATTCCCTTACTTACTAGTACCTCTGGTAACCTCAGAATTCATATAATTTGTTCACCAGGAAGGTGCAACTTTACTTTGAACATTCAATTTGCAAAAGATTTGGCTCAGTCATATGTGCTTGGGTGGCAAATATTATTTCTGTGTCCGTGACACTATGTGTCTTGTCCCAGGGGTTTGCAACTGTGGAGATGGAGCTAGTAGTCAAGCCAATATCTGTCTGATGCAGGAGCTCATGCCCTTTCAACCTTCCAGAATGGTTGTTACTTATACTGGCTATATCATAGTTTTCTTATCTGGCAAAGGAGATTAGTAAATTCCTTGTAAGTCTCCTGATAGAAGAACATGAGCTACTCAAGTGAACCCCCCTGCACAGGGCTGTACAAAGAAAAATGAGCTCCCTCTCTCAACTTGTGAAGTTTTTTAAGGCAAATTATTTTGATTAAGTCTGTGTATGAAGCCCTGGAACCTGCTCTCTTCCTATCCTCCTTGGATATTACTCAAAATATTTAGCATGCTACAAAAGCACCATTTAATGAAAAGGAACAACCGCTAACTGCCAAAATAGGCTCTCAGGGGGTCACCCAGTATCAGTAATTTACTCTGTACTTATTCTTTCTTGGAATAAGGGGGATCCAGGAATCCTAGAGGAGGAGTCAGGTTGGTGGAGTGATTTGGGGGGAAGCACAGTGGGAGTTTAAGATAGACGTATGAGGTGTCATCAAAATATATGGTCAATGTTTAAATTTTAAAAATTATTGCAGTAAAAGACACATTGACATTAATCCCTCTCAAAACACCTCATTTCAAACACCCTTATTTCATTGTTCTTATCCCAAAGATCTGTTTTGTGAGTGTCCTTACCAAGAGTGATAAAAAAATAGTGAATTCTGCTACTGAGTGCCGGCCAACAGGAAGCCAGTCATCCCCCATATTCACTGCACCATGAAACTTCTGGCTGCTCCATACAGTCAAAATGACCATGAGAGAGAAATGTTTTCAATAGATTCAGGACATCAAGGAAGCCACAACAGCACAGCTAAAGACATGCATGAAAGTGGACTTCTAGAACTGTTTCAGAAGGAGGCAAGAATGATGGGTACATGTGTTGGAAGCAGGAGGAAGTGTTTTGTGGAGGATCAGTTGCAGTGTGTCTTTAAGTATAATAAAGTAAGACCATTCTTTTAGACATTTATCATGTGTTTCAATCATACTTTATACATTTGCCAGCTGGTAGAGGAGTGTTTTCCTTGGGGGGAAAAGAAGCCTATCACCAAGTCTTCCATCATTCCAAGGTTCCCCCTCCCAGCTAGATAATTCCCTGGTCCCCACTCTACCTGGATCACCCTTCTCTCCACGAGGGCCCTCTCTCCCATCCCGGCCATCACGGCCAGGCACGCCATTGTCTGTGGGGCTGCATACAACCAGGGTACAGGCGTTGGCCAATGTTGTCTGCTGGTAACTTGTCAATCCAGCTCCTAGGTACCCCAGGGGCTGTGTGAGCAGGAGCAGCATGGAAAGAAGGGGAAGCACCATGGCCTGTAGAGATGAATAGAAAGAGAAAGGACATCCAGTTGGCTCCATGACATTAAATAGAGCTTGACCTAGCTTGTTTTGATCAGAAGTCTTCCTCTCTACCTCCTTCTTCCTTCTATGGGGCCCAGAGCAGTAAGACCCCAAAAGCAATTTAGGGAGGTAAGCATATGGCCTGCTCTTGGAGAGTATGAATTACCCTACTTGAACAGTGACATGGGTCCCTGGGCATAGCAGTGTCCGTCAGTTCTCAGTGGCCCATGAGAACCGTGGCTGTGGTGTAGTGTTCTCACTAAGGCACCTGTCATATCAGGAGGCATTCACTTAGCACCTCTGGGCAGGACCCTTTCCCTTCTGGGCCTCCTTCTCTCTGCCTGTGCCATTGAGGCAGTTGGCAAAGAGAAGACCAGGCAAATGTGTTTCCTCTTCTATGCAGCCATGTGTGGGTTAGCTCCACCAGCAGTTCACACGCTGGTCTGAAAATGAGCCTGAGTCCTGACTGCTTCATGATGTCTGTCCCCAGCTCCAGCTGGGAGTATGGCTGCTTGTATGCCAGACAGTTTATCATTCCTGGACCAGGCACTGACTCCATGGAGAAAGTGCCAGAGGGAGCCCAGGTGAGAAGTTTCAGAGATACTAAATTAGCAGCTGGAGGAACCCAGAGACATCTAGAGATCTGCCCAGACCATATGAGAGGGCATAGAGGAGGGGTTCATGGAGAAAAGGATATGTCAGGTGGGTGGGGTCCCCTGAAAGGCTGGTTTAGGGCAAGAGAAACTATCCATAGGGCAGGGTGGATGCTGGATCAACCCCACATTGAGCATCTGGCTAGATTTTCATCACTGGGGAAAATACCTGAGATAAACCAAGTTAAAAGAAGTAGAAGTTTATTTTGACTCATGGCTTCAGAGGTTTCAGCCCATGGTTACCTGGGCCAGGGGCAATGCAGTGTGTCATGGCAGAAGCACATGGCAGAGGCCTCCTCATCTCATAGCAGCCAGGAAGCAAAGAAAGAGGAACAAGACCAGTGTTCCAATATCCCCTTCAAAGGCATGGCCCCAAAGACCCAACTTACTTCCATTAGGCCACCTCCCTTAAAGGTCACACCACTTCCCAGTAGCACTACATGCTGGGGACAAAGGCTTTAACACATGGGCCTCGGGGGACAGATAAGATTCACACAACAACACCTTTTAAAGAAAAAAAAAACTGTGAAGTTATGAGACTAGAAAGAGCCAGCAGGAGCCACAGAGGTGCTAAAGCAGAGAGCCCTGTGCAAAGATGAAGCAGCTCAGCAGGCTGACTAAGGTGATGGGGGACAGGGGTTTCTGGCCAGGGAAATGCCTCCTTCTCCAGTTCAGTTGCTGGAGACTCTGAGCTGTGGGAAACATTATTTTTCACTGATTTCTTTCTATTTTTAATTTACAACTTCCTTGGGTATACTGAGGGTCTCTAGAAATACCTGGGTGAGCTCACAGGCTAGTAGCAGCTCTTTCATTGCCCTCATTCCAGTCGTCTTAGTCCTCAACACTGAAGGCCAGAACGAGGCCTGAGCAGGGCACTATCCTTCGGCCTGAAGCTGTCTCAACTCTGGGTCCCTTTGATACCGAATCTTGAATTAAGAAAAGACCATAGTCATTCTGTCCATAGGTTCAAGCTGGCACAGAAGGCATCACCATCCATACACTGTGGCATGAAGCAGCTTTGCAGAGTAGCTGTGTGGTTTTCCAGACCTGAGATTCCAAAGAGGGGACTCAGTTGGAGCAGCAAATGAAGCAGTGCTCAACTGCTTTCAGAGGTAGAGTTTAATTAAAAGAGCAATTCTTCTGAACATGGATTAGAAATTCAAAGATGCAATCCAGTGAGCACATTCTAAAAATAAAGACTCAAGGTCACGAGAAACATAAATTTATCAATGTGTCACAGTTGATTGGTACCAGGATGAGTTTAGCCCAGATCTGATAATGCCTGGTCTGTTTCTCCTCCATTGTCCTTTTTTTCTGAAGAAATTGGGCACAGAGTAGGAGCCAAGACAGAAGTTGAAGTTGAATTCCACAGTGCCATCTGGGGTGTCAAAACACATTCATCCACTCTACCCTAGCTCAGGAAGCAAATCTGAACCACAGAAGCTGAATGAGAGGCAGAAAAGCATTTTCTTACCCCACTGTTACCACCACCTCCCATACTCGTGACTCCAGTGCCAGAGCCTAGAACAAGAGCCCAGACCCACCCTTCTTCAACATGAATAGGTGGGGAGGGCAGGCATTCACAGAACAGGGGGAAAACAGAATGAGGCATGGACAGAGACACTCACAGGTTGCTTCCTCCCCAGGAGCTCCAGGAAAATGAATCTTGGCTTAGCAGGCACTTGATATTTATGTCTGCCCTGTAACCTGAGCCACCCAGCTCCAGTTTCCTGAGAACACCTTTGAAGAAGTGGAACAATTTTCTTCCTTGTTGACTCACTCACTCTTATCCCACCTGCCAACTGGACAACTGCCACTGCTATACATGGTTGCCTGTCACACTATGCTTATCCGTCACTTTAGAGTTCACAGAGCACTCTTGGTCCAAGGATGCATCTGCACCTTCCCTGCAGCCCTGTGAGTTAAGCAGCATCACCAGTGTCTGTGTTTTCTAAATGTCCAGGAATCTGGGACCAGAGACCAGGGCATTGCATAATGACCTATGATTGCAAAAACAACTCACATCTACATATCTCAAGAGCTAAGACCTTCTGTGTCCACTTGTCTTCTCTCTTCATCTCAACAGCAACTGCCCAGATATTGTGAAAGAATTGCTTGGTATATTCATGTAAGGGTGGGCAGGGTAAGGGGCAGCATAAGCAGCAACTAATGGGGGCAGTGGCAAGGGAAGCTGCTCCAGGAAGGAGCCATTCTTTTGCATCCTTCTCTAGGATTTGGAAAACCCTTCATGTGCCTTTTGTGGACCTGCCATCCCTTAGCAGTCCTAGGCTTTGCTTTGTTCAGGCCTAGTCTGTCCATTGCGTTAGCTGGAGCTTGCCTTTCACATTGTCCTAGTTAGAAACTCTGAGCTCTTGTCACTCTGTTGATACTATTCTGCAGCCAGCCCTTCACTTTTCAGTGCCTCTTTGGAACTTGTCCATCCCACTGTTACTGCTTTCATCTTTGCTGCTTCTAGATTCTTTGCCTAGCTCCCTATACCGGCAAACCCTTATATCCAACTCTCCCTTTAGGCTGCCCCATTGGTGGTGCTGACTTGCTCCTAGCTTTCAATATTGTTCATCACACCCTTTTACATATTACAGAAGCTATAATACCAAATCTCCCCACTTGGAAGGGCAAGGCCAGTTCTTTCCTATTGAAATTTTTTGAAGCAGGATTCCATAGCAAAGCCACTCTAGTTTTGCTAATAGAGACGTTTTATTATTAACGTAAAGCTGTCCTCACCCTAGGATATTTGTATGTCTCATTGAGCTATGGATCATCATAGAAGCTGCTTTGAACTATTGTTCACTCTCCCCACAAAGACTAGTTATTGGGTCTCATCCTGGTGGCTGGTCTAACCTTTCTAGTTTTTATTTCAGGAGCCTATCCTTTGTCTCTCTTCTTAAGCAGGCCTCTCTCATCCACCACCTCTTAGCTTGTTAAATAAGTTCTCACAATGCCCCGGAGTGCCATTAGAAGACAGATTATGGTGTATGTTTGTTCTACCTTCACATTGTAGCAGAGTCTAGTTTTATTTCTGACCCAATTTATTCACTAATGGCGATGACTGCTGTTTTCCTCAGTTACACGTGCAGATGAGAAGAATCAGATTTGGAATGGCAGTGACAGTAGCCATCATCCACAGTGTCCCCTGGACCACTCTCTCTTCCCAAGGCCAGGCACTTTTGCAGCCAGCCACTGACACTGCACTTTAGCCTCATCAATGTTTGCTGCCTCTGGAGAACATGGTTAGCTGCAGTTTTGTCTGAGCTACGCAGTGGTCTGTGACACTTGTTGTCCACTTCACTGTTGAAACTCTAGGATCAATGTGCTCATTGCAGATTCAATTACTGTGGAGCCATGAGCTTTGCACACCAGCAGACACTCCAAATAAGCACTTCTACCCTTGCTTTATTTGCTTAATCTTGGTCTGTGGCTCCAAAATCTTGGCCTTGACTTCCGTTCCTGCCTCTCCAAGTACCACAGTATTAGTGTTCCTGCTTGTTCTTCCTTGATTTTTTTATTTCTGGCCTGATTCCTTCATCTGGCCTTTAAGCTTCTCTGATTCCCTCAGAGAAATTCTGGTGTTTCAGTTGCTTTTCTCTCATTGCTGAGACAAAAATACCCAACACCCAAAGTTAAAGAACGAAAAGCTTATTTAGCTCACAGCTTGTAGAGGGTGCAGTCCATAATTGGCTGGCTCCGAGGCAGAGTGGCTTGGCAGAGAGGCATCGCAGACGAGAAACAGTTCATGGCAAGCAGAAGATTGCAAAAGCAAGCAAGGGACCTTGTCAGTGTCTTCCTGTCCCTTTCATTTTATCCAAACTACTTAGGGCAGGTAGCACTCACACCCTTAATCCTAGTGCCCTTGAGTCTAGCATTATACCCTGAATCAGTTCCAGCATCTTACAGTGTAGAATCAGCTACCTATGAAAAAGTCCCGCTTATGACCACATGAGGCTTTGGGGAGACATCTAGACACAAACCATAACATCTGATGTCCATTCAAAGTCTGAAGAATAAAACTGAAATATCCAATCTTTTGGCCAATTTCAAAATAAACTAGTGCACATTCCCTGTGTATTTAGTGCCTGGGAAAGAAAGTCAAATATGATATCTAGTATGATGGAAATTTGCCCAGTCTGGCTCCTGAAATGTCCTGATCTCTCATTCTGAAACCAACAACTCTGTTAACACTGATCCATTACATTTCACTTTCCTTAAATTCATTGAGCTAAATATTTGAAGTATCAATTTCTTATCCCTTTGCACACTCAAAATGACCATGTAACTTTATTTTCAATCACTCTATATGGTCTTCCTTTGTGAGTTTTATTTTCATTTTCACTCTCTGTCACCCTAGACCATGTTTTTTAAAAAAACATTTTATTGAGGTATGTTTGACATATTAAAAATGATGTACATATTTAATGTGTACAACTTGATGAGTTTGAAGATAAGCACGCATTTATGGAACCATCAGTAAAATTAAGGCCATGAACATTCATTACTGCTCCAAATTTCCTCCTATCCTCTTTAGTAATTTTTATTTTTTAAAAGTTTGTGTGGGGCCAGGGATTTAGCTCAGTGGTTCTACCTACCTTGCAAGTGCAAGGTTCTGAGTTTCACCCCTGGTACAAAAATTGTAATAATAATAATAATGTATGTGGTAAGAACATGTAAAACAATATCTATCCCTTTAGCAAGCTGTTGGGTGTGCAGACAACAGACAACTGTTAAGTATAAGCCCTATGTTGCAGAACAGATCTCTATGTTATGCAAGATCGTATTAATCTTGCATAACTAAAACTTTATGTACTAAAACCATCACTTTGATTTATCCCCTTCTCCTATACCCTGGTAACCACTATTCTACTCCACTTCTGAATTTGAGAATTTCAGCTTCATAAGAATGGGATCGTGCAGTGTCTGGCCTATTTCACTTAGTATAATATCTATCATGTTGTAGAATTTTCTTAAAACAGACTAATATTTCTTTTTTTTTGTTTTGTTTTGTTTTTTGTTCTTTTGGTACCGGGGATTAAACTCAGGTCCTTGCACTTGCAAGGCAGGCGACTGAACCACTGAGCTAAATCCCCAGCCCCTATCTTTTTTTTTTTTCATTGTTTTTAAGGGCCACAGTTTCTTCATCTCTTCATCTGAAGATAGACATTTAGACTGCCTTTTTTTTTCTTTTAAAAAAATCATTTTAATTATTATGCACTCTTTTTCAAATTTAAATTATCACGATTTCATTTACCAGTCAAGGTTTTTCTGTACATGAGATTTTACTAATTGTAACTTTCTGCAACTGTCAGTTTTATTTTTAATGCCTACTGCTAAATCTAAATTTCTAGTAAGACAATGTTTTAGTTGTACTGATATTACTGTTGATACCAGTAATAGCCATTATGAATACATTTTTATTAGTGCATGTTTATAGTACATGCAGAGTACAATCATCATGGGGAGTGGGGACATGCACATCATATCTCTTGGTTATTTTTTTAAATTCCCTTCCCATTCCTTCCTGCCTCCCTCTTTCCTCCTCTAAATCCATTTTCCTCATTTTTTTCTTGCTGATATTATTACTCTTATCTCATGTTTATGACATATAATATTTACATTAATCAAGGGAATTAGGCTCCTGAACAGGACATATCTTTATTGTACTAATTTCCTCTTCCCTTCTCATCCTTAGTCTCTTAGACCCCTTCCAATTTGCAAGAGATATTCTCCCTTTTTCCTTCTATCCATCTTTATTGTATTCTTTGTATTTTGCCTTGATCAAATGAGAGATACTATATATTATTGAAGACCATGTGTCTGATTTATTTCACTCTTAGGTATAGGAAAAGATTTCTTAAACAGAATCATAATTGCACAAGAGATAACAAGAATCAACAAATGGGATTGTATCAAATAAAAAGTTTCCATGCAGCAAAGAAATCAATTAGTAGATGGAAGAGATAAACTACAGAATAGGAAAAATTTTGCCAACTAGTCTTGACTAATATCTAGAAAATATAAAGAACTAAAAAAAAAATTAGGCCACCTAAAATTAAAAAACCCATTCAAGAATGAGCAAAGTAAAATGAATAAACACTTCTCAGGGGAAGAAATGGAAATGGCCAAATATATGAAAAAATGTTTAACATCTCTGGTCATTGAGAAATGCAAATTAAAATAACACTAAGATTCCATCTTACATGAGAGAATATGGCAATAATCAAGAAATCAAAAAAATAACAAATGCTGGCTGCAGTGAAAAAGAAACCCTCCTACATTATTGGTAGGAATGTAAACTATTACAAGCATTATGGAAGTCAGAAGGTTGTTTTCATAACCATGGCTCTTGCAAGTATTACTGCAATGATCATAGGAATACAAGTCCTCACTGTGAAACTAAATTAAGTTTTTTTTAAAACATATACCACAGAAAAGGGGGTGATCGATCAACAAGTAGTGCTATTTTAATTTTCTGAGGTAAGTCCATACTGGTTGTTTTTGTTTGTTTGTTTGTTTGTTTCCAATACCAGAGATCAAACTCAGGACCTTGCACTTATGAGGCAGGCATGGCACCACTAAGACAAATTCTAAGCCCTCATACTATTTTTCATAGTCATTTTAGCATTCTATATTCCC